CCTGTAAGTTGAGAGGAAGAAGATTCACAATTTGTTTCTAAAGAGAAGTTTTGTGAAATAACGTAGACCCTCCTACCTTGCACAGAGACCCAACGAGTGACTTGCTGATGGCCATGCAGGAAGCATGAAAAGGCTGAAAAATAAGTGTTCCTTTTCCCTTGATCCGTGGTTTTATCACTGAAGAACATCTCTTTTCCTTCCAGGCAGGTCTCTGTGTAAGCTGAGGAGTGTCAGGAATTTCAAATAATGAACATCCTTCAGGCACCAGTGGGCCCAGCTTCTTCCTCTCTCCAGGAGTCCTGAAGCCATTCACCTAAATCTGCAGTAGGAGGGAACAAAACACAAGTGTCAAAAGACACAGCTCTCCTGGATCAGCCCAGGATCCCTACAGGAATTAATCATTCCCTTTTGGGGTAGCAATTCCCCTGGAAGTTTACTTAAAAAAAAAAAAAAATGAACAAATAAATCAAAAATACGGCTTTCCTATACTTACCTACAATCAGCTGGGGCTGACTGTAATTTATCCATCTCCTCAGCTCTGGAAAATGTCAGTCTGGTATCTAAAAGAGGAAATAACAGGAGGGAAAACATGTTGAGGCTCTGCATGCTATCAAAGGGATTACAATTGCCAACTAACATTCAAAAGGTGCTTCCAGAGAAAAATTCCTAGGGCTACACAGGGAACCTCCACTCAGCTTCTCAGTTGGATTTGAGCTCATCTTCATTCCAAACCACAGAATAAGCTTGTTTGTCTGGATAGGCCTGAGGTAAAAATGTGAAAAATCAGACAGAGAAAGGGGAAAACAGAGATCTGAGAGTGAAAAGAAGGGAAAAGGGGAAGGCAGAGGAAAGGGAAAGCAGAGAAACAGAAGTAACCTGTGAAATCAATGAATCCACATCCTTCTGGTATTGGAAAAAAGCACTTGTCTTTGAAGTCTGAAAGGAAAGAACTTTCTTTGGAGAACAGGAAAGAAAATCTCCATTTAATATTGCCTCCAGCACAGGGCTGCTGTGGGTCGCTCAGCTCCTCAAAGCAAACTGAAAAGCAACAAGGCAAGGAGAGGAAGGGATCTGTCCCTCTAAGGGAAGCACGAGCGCTACCACAACCCAAGGAGGAGAACAAGGCTGTTTGAACTCAGACCCACAGGTTTCCCCCCTCTATCTGAATTCCCATCTATCTGATGTCACCACTCTGCTGAAAACAGAGTTCCAGTCAGGAACCAGGAATCACAAAAGAGTCAGCACAACAGTACAACGTTCCCAGCCCAACCATTCACACCACTGTTAGAACCTTTAACCAACTCTGAAGTAGCTGGTGGGTGTGGCCCAGGTATGTGAGTAGTCTCTGCTGGCATAAATCAATCCCCTCCTCTGAAGCTCTACCCCCTCTAGGAGGAACGGATCATTTTAAACACAAGCAGTTGACACTTGCATCTAGATGCCTTTTCAGAGGCACTCCCAAACAGGAGGAAAGTTACACAGGAATTTGATCCTAAGAGAGTTATTCTGTTTCAAGAATGACAGGGGCTGCTGGGGGCTCCAGACCTGGACTTCCAAGAAACAAGAGATTAAAAAAGGCACCTGCAGTAAAGACAGGTGGTGTTCTGCAAAAAAAAAAAAAAAAACAAACCCACCTTGCCAGGATCCTGATGGGGAAAAGATATCAAGTTTCCTGCTGAAGCCAGACTTTGAATAGCACATGGGGGAGAAATCGATCCCTGGGTACATCGTTTATTGGCTCTCCTTCATGCATATGATCGGCTCCTAAGGGAGGAGTTTGTTCCCAAGGCTACCGAGGGAGCAGAGGGGTGGAATAAGGAGAAGGTGGCTCCCAGCAGGGTTTGGGCAGTTGGATTGCCGGCCCGCAGCATGGAAAAATCATGAGGGAAGGCGGAGTGACGAGTTCCTCCCTTTCCCAGCCCCACAGTGAGGACCAAAACTTGAGTGCCCCATCCCAAATCCCGGAGAAACAAAGCCCAGCACTGCCTGCCAGAGGTAGGTGCTGACCCCCTTCCAGGTAAGTTAACACCTTTGCGTTAGCATGCTTTGTTAACACCTGGGACTGTTGGAAGATTAAAATATCGTTTGAGGATATCGTAGAGTTTTAGGATATTGTACGGTATTGTATTTACCTAAACACTCTTATCCCTGTAGATAAGAAAAATCTTTTTGTTGCTGCCTCTTCTGGGTGATGTGACAGAAGTCCTTTCCTCGAGCTGTTTTCCACTTGGGATTGCAGTGCAGCAAGGAGAATGGGGAGCTGAGGTCTGTTTAATTCTGGTTAATTCTTACTTTTCTCCTTTTGTCTTTCAGCACCAGGTGGATGTTTTTTTCTCTTGTAAATGAAAATTATGCGGTACCCGTGAGGAATGGTTATGCGTTTTAATTCTTAGTCAGATATTTAAATAAATTAACATACCTGTCTGCCTCTTGAGTTTTCTCAGACTTAATCTCTCCAGCTCAGTTTTGGGCTCAGTTCATACACCTGTTCCTGGAAACTAGTATTAAGGTGGTCTTTTGAAAGTAATCTGAAATGAGGGATAGCCTATGGACACCTGTGTGTTCATTCCTGAAATCGAGATCCAAAATGGCACAGTCAGACATGTAGTTTCCTCTGCTGAAGTGAAGTAACCACCTCTTGACTCCACACCCTCTCCCTCACCTTGAAAATAACTAAACAACATGGAAAGTTGTCCTCTCTGCCCAGACTAGTGTAAAAATGAAAATATTCCAGCTTTTATTACTGAACTGGATTCAGGGCAAGATACCTTTGAATATTTTGCTTTTTACTCTCTGGGCTTCTCTTTGGCGGGAGAAAGTCCCCTCACGCGATTTCTGCCTTCAGTCAGCTCACGGTCACCCCTCCAAAATGTCCCACCTTACTGCCCAAATACAATGTGGAAAATAATCCAGGCCCTTCCCTATCCCAGTGAGAGGACCTCTGTCTCCAGCCTCAAGCACCAGCATCGCGAAACCACCTGGGACCCCGGCCCACAAAACGGTGCCCACGCCGTGAGGGGACAGCGGCCATGTTGGGGCCGGGGGCTCGGCGCCGCAATTCCCGGCGCTGCCGGCGGGTTTTCCAAAAACAGCCGGCGGCTCGGGACGGCCCCTTCCCGCGGGGGGAACAGGCGGGAGGAGCTTGGCGGCTGTCCCCAGGGCGGGCTGGGTCGGCAGCAGCGCCCTGCGGAGCCGGGAGCGCGGAGGGGACGGAGAAGCGGGCGTCCCTCACGGCGGGGAGCGGGAGAGCCGCGGGGCGCCGCCCGCCGGAGGGGGAGGCGGCGCCTCGGAGCTGCCGTGGCGGGGCTGAGGGGTTTTCCTCCTCTCTTCGCCTTTCTGGCCCCTCAGGGTCGGACTCTGGAACTCAGGTGTTATGTGTATTAGATACAATTCGCGCCATTTCTAGTATGATATATGTGATATTGAATATTGGAGTATACACGTTTGTATTAGGAGTCCCCCCCACCCTCGCAGGCGAAACCTGGTGTGTATTAGAACCCGATTTACAAGTAAAAGGATGTGGCTCGCCGGGAGATGGGCCATGTCTGGAGAGACAGTGGACGCCCAGGCGCTCGCTGATCATCAGGTGAACGACCTGAGATGGATATCATGGAAATCCTCGGGCAGATCCATGTGAATACAGCGTTCCCGTACATTTCATCAAGGGATTCTACAACTCGGGACACTGAATTGTTCTTCCTCATCACCAAAAAAAGAAAATCTTATTAACCTATGGACTCTGAATGCAAGAAAAGACTGCCAGAATCTTGGCCTCGGGCGGAATTTTTCCTGTAAAAACCACTTGTGCCAGGACGGAGGTGTGTGGGCACAGAGGAAAACCTGCTGGGGCTGACTCCTTATTGCACACCCAGGGCCCACCCCGGGCTCGGCTCTGTTCTTTCTTTGTGGCTGGCTAGATAGAATTCGATTGCAAAACAAATATTTTATTTTTTTCATTTTAATTTGGCTGGACACATTTTCATCTATAACAAAGGACTCCGATTTTCTCCTCAGTGTGCCCACAGGAAGCACCCCGGGGCGGCTGTGTCAGTAGAGGGGTTTGCTGAAGGTGTTAAGTTAGCCAGGTAAGGCAGGTGCTGCTGGGGCTGCCTCTTGGCCTGCGGTGTGGTCACCTGTGCTCCAGAGGACGAGTCCACAGGAAAATCCAAATAAACTGAGCAAGAAACCTGTCAATACCTGATTTAAAACTGCCACTATCAGATTCCTCTTCTTTACTTCCCCCTTTCTGTCTCTTTCCTCCTCTTTTTTTTTTCTCTTATTTTCCTCTTCTTTTTCTGCCTGCATCTGGGTTCGCCCTGGCAAACCAAACCAGAAGATTTGGAAAAGGAGGGAAACATATCTCCCCTTAAATAACTTCAATTCCTCCTGCAGTTTTAAAATTAGGTGGGCAAGAATTAATTTTGTTACGTAAAGTTGACTCTTAATAGATTAAAAAGTAAATGCACATATTTTTCTTTATAGGTGCTGTTCCAATGAGCAAGAATATCCAGGAACAAAGGTAGTACACAGGATTTGTTTGCAGAAAATTCCTGTCCCTGCTATGTGTCTTTATTTTTCCCCCAAAAGGTAGAGCTTGATTTTAGTGGGTTTTATACACAGTTGTATATCTAATATTTCAAAGTTCTCCCACAGAAGGGTCATAAATGAGTTTGAAAATTGATGGCAAACTGATTGACTCAGACTGTTGAGTCAAACTGACACCACACCCTCAGAAATGGAGCAAATAATCCATTGCCTGATCAATTCCAGTAAAATAAGAGTGTGAATTGACTCAGGTTTCCTTCCTTTTGGTTTTCAATAAGCAAACTCTCCTCTTATTCTACAGTTTCTCTCAGAAAGGTGGAGATGTGCAGAAGAAGCTGCATGAAGTGAGTTGAAATTTGGGACAGCTTCTTAAATTTAGGCGAGTCCTTGTCACTGCCGAGTCTTTGGACAGTTTCACTAACACCATTTTGAGCAGCCTCCTTTTGATTTAGGTCATGTCTTCAGTATTTTGGTTGGTTTAGTTTGATTGTTGTTTGTTTGTTTGTTTTCTTCTTGAGACCAGTGATCTGTGTGAGGAAATCCATTTAAGTCTGATTAGCAGAGCAAACTGATAGAAATGCAACTGGAAAGAGATGCACTTCAGGATTGCAGGTATGAGGACTGAGACAGATTTACCATGGAGGGTGTCTGTATGAGCTTTCAGAGGCACAGCAGGCCTTCTCAGGGAAAAGCTTCCTTCCTGGAATAACACTATAACACTCTGGGGTTAGATAACAACTCATTATTTAGCTGTAAAAACCAGCAGTTAATCAACTGAAGTATTACATCTGTGAGGGTAAAACTCCAGGTGAATCCTGTTATCTAATTTTATTTTACTTCTGTTTCTGAAGTCAGACAAAAGGGGTCTCAAAGCCAAGAGAATCTACAAATACAGTTAAAAAATAGTACTGGAGAGCTGGAAGCTGCCAGCCAGCAGTGGGACCAGGTGCTGAGGGAGGCTGGCAGCCAAAATGAGCATCTGACACAAGTGCTCCACAGCCACGAGGAGTTACTGCTGGAATTACCTGGCAGCCTAATGGACTGCAGAGACAGGGCAGGCAGGAAGCTCTGTGAGCACGAGGACATTGCCAGCCTGAGCACAGCATTTTGTGGTGTCCTGCAGGATCTGGACTCCCAGGTGTCACACCTCAAAGGAAAGCTGGTCCTGGTATGTGAACAAAGTCCTAATTTCCTTTCCAACTTTTAGGAAATGCATTTGGAGACTCTGCGAGCCCCCTTCTAACCTGGCCTAGGGAAAGGGTTATGGCATAAAGAGGTGCAGATGGCACCTTGCTCATGGTGGGACCAAAAGGGAGGAAATCATACTTTAGAATCTGCTGTTCACCCTGCCTTTGTTTCAGGGCTTTGCTGTGTCATCTGTTCACAATAGGTGGAGGAGGAACTTCAGTCACTGACAAAAGAGTCACAGATCCGAAAAGAACTGCTCCAACATCAAATGAGGTACACATTCTCTGGTTTTTTTATTCATAAAGCATATCCAGACATATTTCACTTGTTCCACAGGGAGTTCCTTTGTGATGATATGGTACTTGGAGTGAGGTGACTAGGGGGTAGGAAGCAATGTTTTTGAGGACTTCAATAATCACTCCAATAAAATGTTTATTTGCTAGTGACTTGGTGCTGCTTTTGCCTTTCACACTGTTCATCTCCTGGTTTAGTTACTGCCACAAAAATTCTATTTTGGAAGAATCTCTGCACCTTACTTTTCTAAGTGTCGCTCAAGTGGGCACATGGAATGTGTTGGAATGACAGTTCCACCATTAAAAGAAAAGACTGACAGTAATTTTGGTAGTTAAATCAGCTTTTTCTTGCTGCTTTCACTAAGAGCTTTGTCCTTTCTTGTTTGAGAGGTCCTAATTTTTGCCCCACCATCCACTTGAGTTACATAGTAACCCCTTCAAAGTAGAATTATCCATACCTTGATACTTAATACCAGAACATCCAAATTACAACCTTTCTGACAAGTGAAAGAAATTACTTTTTGCCAAGATGAAATAACAGCCAGTGTTTTCTTTTGGGAAGAGGATCGAGCAGCTAAGAAATGAGCATGAGCACGAGGTGGCAGCACTGCCTCGTAAAGCTGGCAGCGCCTGCAGCTTGCAAGTAGCATCCAAAGCCTGGTGGGGACAGGTTGTTAAGTCTGGGCTTGGAATATAGTGTAGGAAATGTTAAGAGTAACCTTAATTGGAGAGAAATCTTATGCTGCTCCTACACTCCACTCTCTGCCCTACTGTTTTGCTTTCTCAGTGCTTTTAAGTGAAGCACTGGTTGCACAGACTGTGAAATGAAGAGAAAAGGGACCAAAACAGAAACCCCACAAAACCACACAAAATAGAAGAGAGAGAACACATCCACGTGTTAGGCAGGGTGAGAATGAGGAAGCTGAAGCTGCTTCTCCTTTGATGGTTCTTATAGTTTCTAATTTTTCCACCTGAAACTTCCCATAGAGAACAAGCAAGAAGCCCAAATTTGGTGCATCCACATCAAGTCTGTCACCTGGAATCCAGAGTTTGTCGGCTCTGTTCCCAGCTGGGAGAATTGAAGAGGATCTGTGAAAACAAGGTGTGTATGGATTTGCCTGTTAGCACTGTTTCACTGATGCCAGTGAAACTGAGTGTGTGGAGATCTGAAATGTTCCAGAGACAGGAGAGAAGTCTCTTGATGAGGAATTGCTTCAGAAAAATTGTCTGGATAAATTACAAGAACAATTAAGGATAAATTACATTATCTTAAATGTGACACATTAGAGTATCTTTATTAAATAGCCTTGTAGACTGGTCCATCATCTCATCCATTGGCAGAAGTTGCCTCCTTTCAGAGAAAGTGAACACTGCTTGGTACAAAACGTGTGCCTGGAGATTTCTCAATGTAGCCACAGTGAAGGAATAGTCCTCGGTGGAAAAAAGGACTTTTTTTTGTAGGGCCTAGAAGAAAACCAGAAGAAATCAATTGTACTGTTTAAATAGAATGCTTTAAGATAATTCTTCATGAATACTTGCCTTTTTCTAGGTCCAAGGCCTTGAAAAGTAGTTGCACTTAGCTCACTCTGAGACAGCAGAAGCTCAGACAGACCAGCTACAACATAGCCATGGAAATCCAAATAACCAGATTCATAAATTGTTGGTAACAAATGATAGTATTGAAAAAACTTGCCTTCTAAAAGTCTCTCCTTGCTTATAGTGTTCAGATTTGCACCTTGCTTTTTTCCCCTTTTAATTAACTTTGAGATTACTTATAACTAGAAATTTGAATTGGCTGTGAAAGGCCTTTGCCCATAGTGATGAGGGACATTCAGAATTAAGACTTAACTTTGTCAATTAAGACTTAACTTTGTCATAAATTTAAAACCACAGAAACCTATGCAAATCATGTAAAGATGCTGAGCTACCTCCACTTTAATCTCACAGGTTAAAGGATCCCTCTGTTAAGGATTCTTGGTCCCTTAACACATATTTTGTAAGGCTTATCCAATACTCAAGCAGTAAACAGCAGCAGAAGTTATGACAGAAGTTATTATTAGCAGAAATACCTATCCGTAATTCTCTTTGGGCCATGTTTTATATTTATAGTGTTGAAATGAGTAGCTCTGAAATGTGTGTGTAGTGTTTTTAACATTATTTACATTTTAAATTATCATTAAGAGAACAAAAAAAATCCTGGATTTCTTTAGGAGAGAGATGACTTTAATTTCTCAAAAATGACTTTAACTTCACAAAAAAAGAGACAGAGCTAAGCCTAGAAAAAGAGCAAAACAAGCAATTTTGGGATCAGAACACAGAACAGCACCATCATAGAGCAGCTCAGGAGGCAGCTGGACAACAGAAACATGCAGCTGCAGAGCATGGAAAAGGCTCTGAAGGAAATGATGATGGAGTGCTGCAGACAAATGCAGTGCCAGGTTGGTGGTTTTGACTCCAAACCTCCAAAGTGAGATTTTGTATACTTCCAGGAAGTTTAATGCTGCCAGATCTACCAAACAAATTGTTGAATTTGGTATTTTCAGCTGTGAGCACATCTGTAAGAGTGGCTAGTGAGTTCAAGGCCTTCATAATGCTTTACTTCATGCAGTGTTAAATGAAAACGTTGTCAAGTTTGTGTTTATGAACCAGTGAGCGCTGTGTCAGAATTCCTTCTGACAAAGTAGACACTGCCTTTACACTCTACATTTCCCTTTTTTCCAAACTTCAATTCCTCAAAAATGAGCTGTAATTAGGTAACCTGCTTTGCATTATGAATAAAGATCCAGTTGATTATTTTCTACCAAACCATAGGCTTGAGCTAACTCACACATAATTAGTTTTCTGCATCCATTATTTTTTGTTGAAAATTCTCCCACCAGGAAATTCACTCTTTTCTTCTGTTTGTACTTTGCACTGTTACCAGTTTCTGAATCACAATTGCTTGTGGTTCAAATGGTGCATATTGCTGCTTGCAGGAATTAAATCAGTAATAAATTATTCATGTAATTGTTTCTTCCCCAGCTTCAGAGAGCAGACAGTTGAGTTTTATCACTTAAAATTCTTTAGCCTTAAATGCTCTGAATTTTGTTGCCAGTTGATTCTTTTTCTTTTTACAATAGTTTAGCATTTTTCATTTCCTGTGTTTAAAAAACCTATATTCCATTCATTTATTAAAATGGAGGGAGAGAAGAGCCAGAGCATCCTGACCTAATTTTTCTGTACAACTGAGGTGTACTACAGAAAAACAGAAGTGTGCCAGGACATTCAAAAGGTAGAAATAAACACATCCCTTGGTTGATGGTATTGTTATTCTTCAGATGACTGCAACTGAGGAAAAAAATGAAAGCATTGGAAGAATCTTCTCTCTGACTGTGCAGCTGGACATGACCAAGGAAGCACTGCGTAAAGTCACGGAGGTTTGGCAGCCGAACAGAGGGATTTGGAGGCTGCTGAGCAAACAGCCTCAGATCTGGTGGCCTGTCTGCAGGAGAAGGAGAGAGCCCTTGGGGCTAGCAGGCAGGAAATCAGGGAGCTGCCTTGCCAGCTTGGCAGCAGGACACAGGAGCTGCAGCATGCAAGGAGTGAAGAGGGCTGCTTACACAAGGTGCAGTCAGAGCGTGAGGCACTGAAACTGTGCATGTTGGAGAAGGAAAGGATGGTGGAGATCTTCCAAAAGCAAATTGATAACGTGACCCAGATCATGGGCCAGCACGGCCAAACTGCTGGGGCAATGGAAGTGGAGAAATCCCAGCTGAAAAAAGAAATAAATGACTGGAAACTCAAAGCAGAAGAGCTTAAGGTGTGCAAACAATGCTGTATATGTGTCTCTTTATGACAGTAAACGTTTGATAGTTTTAAATCTCTGCTTTAATGTGCTGATACTGTGGTCTTGAAGAAGGTCAGGTAATGCCACTGGAATTCTAACAGCACTCAGTTAGTAGGCAGAGGAGGATAATATTATAACATTACCATTACCAATGAATAAATCTCTGCTGAAAAGCAGCTGCCAAAAGGCTGGAATGACCTCAGTGAGATGAGTGTCCACGCCAGAGCAGAACCAGAAATACAAAGTGCTAGTGAGAAGCAGCAGACAGGCAGCACTCAGAATTCCAAACTGAGAACACCGGTTATTTCTCAGACAAGAAATACAGGATGTTGTAGTTCCATGCAGGTCAGCATCTCAGGAGAAAAATCACTCCAGATGGAATTTCATTCTCTTTGGTGAGAAGGCATTTGAGTGCACATGGTGGGGGGTGCTGCTGTAAGGGAATGGCGATCATCTTCATAAGCTACACCTGGTAAGGTTCATTATTCTTTAAAGCCATCAGATCCAGTTCTGCTGCACCCTTTTTGCCTGGATTAGCAATTTTCACACAAATAGTTGGTCTGTTTCACTCTTATTTTCTTTCTTCCCCCAAACTGGGATTTTAAGTAGTGGTATCCACACGTCTTTGTGGTTATTTTCTATAATTATGTATATTACACATAAGTGTTTTTAATGTAAGCAGAGCACAAAGGATGAGAAAAAAGCCGGAATAGGTGAAATGGAAGCTAGGCTGAATGAGCTGGAGCTGGAAAAGGTTCAGCTGGTTAACAATGCACCAAGAGGCTCCAGGCACTGAATGATGCAAAACTGGAAAAAGAGGAGCTCCTGCAGGAACTCCAGGCTGGCCAGAGGGAGCTGGCTGGCCTTGCAGGTAGGGAGTCTCAGCTCAGCTCCCACAGCTGCTAATTTGGGCTCATGTTAAAAATAAAAGAGCAGCCTGCTGGCCAAATCCAAATATGGCTGCTGATAAAGCATGAGGTTCCTGCCAGCACAGGATGGTCAGATTCTTCCAGGGAGCTATGTGGCACTGAAGGGGGGGAACACAATCTTAATGGCCCATCTCACTATGAGCAAAAATATTTAAAACTGCCTGAGTCAGGAGATGAAAAAAGTAGATCTAGTAAATCACAGAATAGCAACCTGACCCTTTTTTTCAAGAGAGGTATGTAAGAGTAAGACTGGATCCCATTAACCATTTGTGGCCAAATTATAGTGAAACTGTTTTGTTGCAAATTTGCTACAATGTTATTATTTGATGCTTTAACTTCCACGTTTTTAGGACTGATGTGTGGGAAACCACATCAAGATACATTATTAAAATATACACAGATGTATACAATTATAAAAATAAAAATACTTCTGAAATATACAGATATGAATATATTATTTAAAATATACACAAAGCAGGATCTGGATCCAAAGTAACCACTAAACTTCAAGGATGTTCTCAGGTTAATCTGCACAGGAGCTGGCTGGATGCTGCTGGTGACATGCTTTGCTCTCTGCACATTCCTGTACCATCAGGAAGTACCCCTTGGGAGCCCTGCCTTTATCACAAGCTGGCAGCAGATAAGTAATTTTAGTCTAGAAAAATGATTTTTTTTGTCATTCTAATTTCAATCTTTACTTGCTTTAGTCAAGGCATTTGAAGAGGAATTATCAGGGTGAAGTCAAGAAAATGGAAAATGCTGCAAACAGACTGAAAATGCAATTGAAGTCAGCCCAAGCTGAACTGAAGCAGGCCAAGACTGCTCTAAAGACTACAGAGGGACCTGATGGCAATTGTAACTGGATTGAACTTCTGAAAAATCACACACATTTGTCTTATCAACCAGAGAATATTTGTAAGCATTGCCATCCCAATCCTCATTGTTCACTGAGAATTAACTTTCTGTTTTCCAGCTCTGGAAGCTGCAGCAAGAACGCAGAAGCAGATCACAGCCAAGAGAGGACAGATAGATGCACTACAGAGCAAGATGAAATTCTTGGAAGAGGCAATGGCAAACACAGCTAAGGTCACAGGAACTCCTTTTAAAAGTATTTCACTGCATTTAGAGAGGTTTGTCTTGGGAGAAATGCATGGGCAAAAGCACAGTCAGCCCGTAAAGGACTGAAAATAGTTTTGCTCGGTGTTTATGGAAATCAGCTTCCTGCAAAGAGACAGGCGTTAATTTTTATTTGTTCCTGAAAGAATGAGAGTAGTTGCAATGAGAATCAGGCTCTTACCTATCTGTTCTTCCTAAAAATGTCAACTTGGGCATTCTGTAACCTTCTGACCCTGGTCCTCGGTGCTTCCCCTCTGGATTCTGAGGCAGTTCTGGATGTAAACCCTGTGTGTCGGGGTCTGTCTGTCACTGTGAGTCCTTTTCCACTATCTGTGAGAAATCATTCAGTTGCCAAGAGCTGTAGTTCAATGAATGATCATTTATGTCTGTCCACTGTAACCTGTCCTGTTTCTTCACTGGCTTGGCATCCTGTGGATCCTGAAGCTTAAAATTCCAGTTTCAAAATGGATCAAAAATGGGAGATTTTGTTTCACTGAGGGCAGTCCATTTGCACTTTTCCTTGTAAGGCCTTTCTTCATGTTACAGGATATCATCTTTGTGCAAGATGCAGTATCTAAGCTTCTCAAAGTGCTAGTTCAGATATTTTGAAGATGAGAATAAAATCTACAGAAGATTAATGTCTATAATTTATAAATTTTTGACTCATACTATGTATTTTTAAAATCAGGAGAAGCATTACCTCGGAGAAGAAAATAATAAACTAAATTGGAAACTGAGCTGTATTAGAGCAGAAAATATCAGGATTGCTGGGGACCTGGAGATCCTGAGCTCACAAGACAAACAACTGAAAGAAAAACTATCAAAGATGGAGACAGCCTTTGATAAGGCAGTGTAAGGAAACTCAGTTCAGGGAGATTCCTGAATGTTTTCCTCTACAGTCTGTTGGGAAGAGAAGGGTTGGATTTAATACATTATTTTCACATGTACTTTAAGATGCTACCTGGAGATTTTTTTAATAGTAAAAGGCTTCTATTTTCATTAAGAGTTTTCTTGCTTTACTCCTTATTAGCTCAGGGAAATCTAAACTCCAGGGAATTGAAAGTAAATGTGTCGTGCAGGCTGTAGAACCTTCCACTGACTCTGGGCACAGCTTCTTTCTCTGCATGGTGTTGTTTCATTTGCCTTTTACACTTTTAGGTGAGATTTCTGTTGCTGGCACACCTGACCCCTAAGGTAGGATCAGCACAGAAATCCAGGTGCCCTGCAGGCAGGCTGCTGCTCTTACAGAGGAAGAGTCCTTTCAGGATTCTAACTTTCTCTGATGTCAATTGCTATGCAAGGTGTCATTCTCAAATCTCCTTAAAAAAATTACAAAGGAATTGTGATACCTCCTCCCATTTCTTTAAATGCTTGTCACTGGAAGCTTACCTTTCTTGTGGGGTATGGTTATTTATGCGTCTTTTCAGAGTAAATTTTTGAAGGAGGAAAAGGTAGAGAGCAACTTAACAAAGGCAGGTCAGCCAAGTCCTCAGCCATCCCTTTTCAAACCCTGAAGTGTAGTTTTGCCTCATTAGCACAACTGAGTTTTCTAATCCCAGAGGTGTTTAGTAGGTGTGGGACTGGCCCTGGAAGGATATTGTGCCCTTCTGGGACATTCTGGTGTGAATATTATGGCTGCCAGGTTTGTATAAGCAGTTGCTTCTGTGAGCTTGTCAGCAAAGGCATCCTGCAGTATTTCCTTGCTGATAGCAGGAGATAAATACAGCACCTCTATGTGCATCTCGTTTCTTGGTCAGAGAGAGGACAGCAAAGAGTGCAATCCCCAGAAAGTTAGCACAGCTCATTTGTACCCCTTCTGTGCTCTGTTGCAGGCATCCCTGCAGTTTGCAGAGTGCCAGTGCATCATCCAGTGCCAGCAGCAGGAAGCCATGTGCTGCAGGTTGCAGCACATCTTGGATGTGAGAGTGAGTGCCTCCCTGGGAAGTGTGAGCCTAGACTCTGGTTCATTTGCTTTGGGGCCTATCTTTAGGTTTAACCCTCTGTGGTGCAAACAGCTCTCAGAAGTCTCTGAAACTCTTTTCTATGTGGAATCCCTCAGTGCTGCACGTGTCCATAATTGGTTTCTGGTTTTCATTGCAGAAAACATCAACTATAACCTCTCATAAAAAAATTCTTTAGCTGTTGTCTTATAGATTTTGTGTAAATCTCCAGAAGTGACTTGATGTATCTCCCAGTTATTTTTATTAATTTCAGCCTCAAAACCTATAGGAGGTCACATGTGAATGCAGGCATTTTTCAGGAATATTTTTCTGGTTGGCTTCCTGATGTGGTGGCAAGCATTTACATCAAGGAACAAAGGATAGTTCCTTCTGTGAAATCCCTGCAGCATCAGGCACTCCCATTCTCTCTTCTCAGAGTTCATCAATTTATGCTTCTGAAGATAAAGAAGGAAAAGGGACTTAATTTTAATTTAGTACTACAGTGAGGTCCTAACAGGTTGCAGGAGCACTTGAATCAACGTCTACTTTAATCTTCTTGGTTCCTGTATCATTAGTTATTGTACAAAATGAAACAGCTCCAACATTTGAGACAGGCTCTGCTGGGTGATAATCGGGTTTCCTAACAGCAATGTGGAAAAGGAGGATTTGGTCTTACTCAGTGTCACTTTGACCCATTATGAACCTGAGGATTTGTTCCCCATATAAGCCCTGCTGAAACCAGTGTGTTCACATTAAAAATGTCTTTTATTTTTTTTAATGGAAGTGGGGTAGCAAGGTTTTTCCATCCCCAGATGGAACAAAGATCAGTGGGAGCAGTGCTTTGAACATGTGAAATGCTGAAAAATCCAGTTCTCAGCAGTGAAAAGTCCAGTTGTTACTGAAACAAAGGGTTCTTTGAACCAGGCCTTTGCCTTAAGTCCTGAGCAGTATAATGAGAATAATATTGCACTTGATGTCCATGATGGCCGTGGCAGTAAAGAGGTTTGTATCTGCAGACAGCTCAGCTGCTGCAGAGTTTGCATGGCAAACATGGAATGAGTTTGCCTGGCAAACACCCCCAGGTGCTCCTGTGTCTCCCTTCAATGCTGTGTCTGTGCCCTGTACAGGAGAACCTGGGGTCACCAGTTAAAAAGGACGAAACAAGAGTCAAGGGGAAGAAATACATGCATTTGGATGAGTTGAGCTAAGAATTGACAACAGAGAGCCTTTGTGAATGCTTTTTAATTGAATAATTTTATTTCAGAAGCCTACCAAGCTTGACATTTTGACGGAAAACCACTGCAGGATTTGAAGAGGATTCTTCAAGAATTAACAAGCTCAGACAGTGAAGTTCTCTCCATGGATCTCAGCAGCCATGGTGGGAGAAAATCCCCTTTAACAACCATGAGGAATGCAGTGTAAGAATAATACATTTATTTCTGTTGTGTGCTGTGTACTTACAGTGCCCTCTGAAACTGGGATCTGGCTCTTGACATGCTTCAGGAGCAGTGTGGGATGTGGCTTTGCAAGGTCAGGTTTACACATAAGCTTGAGATAATTTGGAAGCTTCCAAAGCTTCTGTTGTTTGCTAGGTTACTCAGATGCTTTAGGTGGAAGGGAAATAGAAGGTGACCACACCATTTGCCTTCCATGCTTGCTTTTATATTTGTTCAGAACTCCTTTCTTCTTTTCCTGCTATATGTAAATATCCAAATGCAGGAATTTTTTTTTTACCCAAACCACATGATAATGACAGCAGCACATGAAGTTGAAAAATCAACACAGCACAAATTCTGATGTTTCTAATCCAGAACATAAGTATACTTCATAAAAGAAAATGTGATTCATTAATTTTGTTTGGGATTAAATCAAAACTGCAGCTGGAGAGGCTGCTACTGCAGGAATGGTGGAAAAGCACATTCTAGGACAGTGAGAAGTGCTTTGACTTAGCTGACTAACCTTCTTCTCACAGTGCTCATTTGAGGTTCAGTTTCTAAGGCTCTTTTAATCCTGAGCTTGCTTGTATTGTTTTATTCATAATACTAAGAACTTCCTGGGAATTACAAAGCAAAGCTTTCATTTCACTTTCATCCCTCTAAGCAAGAGCTCTGAAACATATTTACATTGTTTGCTTTTAATTTCCATGGATAAGACCTGGAGACTCCATATAAGAGCTTCACATTCTCACTGTGGATGCTGGCTAGCACAACCAAACTTTAGCATAACCCTTCCAGAATGCAGTTTTGCCCTTCTTTTGCTTTCAGGGGTCCTTCCCACTCACATCCCACAGATCTTCAGTCCCAGGATGGTTCCCAGCTCCTTACATCCCTTGGTAAATTTCCACTGGCAACACTGATGTCAAAGTGGAACATTACAAAGTATTAAAAAGAATATAGTCCCAATACAGTATATTTTCCTAGGAGTTTACTCAAATACCTCTTAGCAGGTGCTATTACTAAAGAGTCTTTATTGCACTTGCTACAAAATCTGTGTCTTGTTGGAAAGCAGCTCTTCAGAGTCTGACACAAGCACACCCAAAACTGATAAGCTTCCATGCTACTTGTGTAATTAGCACCAATAACATTGCCACATGTTTGGAGATGAAATTTAGGCTCTTGAGTTCTTTATTTGGATATTTAGTTATGGATGGGCTTTTTAGAAGAATCAAAAAATGCTGTTGGTTTCCTCCCAAGTACTGCATGGGCCAGTACCTTTTAAACTGTGATGACATGATTTTTTTGTCTAAAAGAAATAAGAGGATGTGGCTTTGTGCAGCAGGGTTTGAAGATACTAATCTTAACTACCTTTTCTTTTCTTGCCCATAGATTATCCCTTCTTTGAAAATTGCCTACAGACACTGATATTGTTCTCTATTTAGAATTTGAGCCACTGTGCCTTGGAGATAGGCTCTGTCCCTTGTGAGGAGTAACTGCTTTGGGTATTCTTTTGGTAATTCTGAGTATTCAAGAAAATCTCCTGGGTAGTTACTGACTGCCTTCTAGCAAACCAGCTGCAGCATCCAGGGATTTTCCTAGTATCCAAAGGAGCTACAAGTTGGAGTTTATGTAGAAGACTTAAGAAGTAGTAGAGTCTGTAATGGGCAGAGGGTCTTGGGTTGTGAGTAGACACAATATTCCCCGTTTGGGCAGTAAACAAGGAATAGAGAGCAGAACAAAAGCCATTCTGACGTGCCAATGACTTCAACAGGAACAAGCATGTTTTGTAAGGAGGCTTTAGTCTCCTGCTTGCACGGGGGTCCCTCCTCAGACGTGTGCTCACTGCTCTTTGCTGGGACATCTCCTAGGAAAGGCATCCACCTGCTCGGCAGCACCTCGGCGCACATCCTTTCCCAGGCAGGTTCCTTGGGAGGGCAGGCACAGAGACAGATCTCCAGTACACTTGCTCTTCACTATGCCCCCTAATGAGCTTGCAGCTGGCCCTGCTGCCTCACCTGAGCACAGCCCAGCCCCAGGGAAGCTTGGCTCTCCACAGGGAGCAGCCACAGACCCAGGAATACGTATGTCCAGTCCTACGTCCTGATCTGGGCACCTTCACCCTCTCCCAGTTCTGTTCAAGCAGAAAGGTTTATTCTGTGATAAATTAATTGTGAGTAAAGCATAGCAGCTAATTAATCCATTGTCAGCCAGAAGATAAATTCCACACACCACTAATTTTAAGGCCTGGTGAATTGCCTTATTCAAATTAAAAGGCTGTAAGGATGCTTAACGTCAATATTTGTAGTACAAAAATGTTTGTAATAGCTGTTGTGGTTCCTGTAATACATTTAGGCAAGTTCTGGGGTTTACTGAAAATGTTGGTCTAGATTTTATTTCGTAAGAACTTCAGTTTCAAGGGAATGTTTAGATAATTTATAATGGCTTTTTTTATTATTACTGATGATAATATTATTACTTTTTTCTCTAGCTTCTCAGCCCATGGAAACTAGTGAGCCCACACCAAAGAGGCTACAGAGTGAGATGGAAATCCTGCAAAACCTGATGGAATCATTACACATAAAAAACCAAGGTGCCAATATTTACCAAAAATATTCCCATTTCACTGAAAAAACACACACTCTCCAGAAGCTGTTCTTGGTACCTGCCAAAGCACTACCTGTGCTTTTACCAGCACATACTAGTTTTACTTGCAGTAGCCACTTGTGCATTATCCTGCTCCTGGGAGAGTAATTAGATTAACTCCACAATGCCTCTTAACTCTAATAAGTTCTTAATATGTCAAACATGGCAGCTGCTCAGAGGTGTCCTCCTGTGCTGTCACAGCCAATTACAGGGAATTTTTGACAAGCTGATGACACTTTCAGAGAAACTGCAAGATTTCTAAAACATAGTTGCATGAGCTACTGGCATGGCAGGATGCCAAATGAGATGGGGTTTAATTCTCTGCACTCTTTCTAATTGCATATTCCCTTTATTTCTTTAAGTCTTGTTGCACAGATTTAAGAAATTATTATTTCTTCTCATCAAATTGTGTATTTGTGTCAGGGACATACAAGTGACCTGAGGTAGGTAAAACTAACCAAGTTATATAAATAAATCAAAGATAAGTATTCTCATTTTTGTTCCTTGCTACCCATTAATATCCGCAGTGGTTTTTCTATAGTCACATAAAGAATTGCAAACTGAAGCTGCATTTGTAAGGGCTTTGTAGGTACAACATAACTTGTTATGGGAGGACTTTGTGAAGCTTCAGCTGGCTGCACCTGAGACCTCAGCCTTTGGAACATAAAGTGGTGTTCAGCTAATCTGTTCTTCTGCTATTTTCAGTCATGTCTCCAGTGATCAGAACTCAGGAGGTGAAGACAAAGAAATCCAAGGAAAAGGAAAGAAAGCTGTCCAAGTGAAGGCACTGCATGTATTAGTGATCACTTTCATGTAGGTACATTGTGTTTAAAATATGTAATGTTTTTAAAGATTAATCATAAAAACCCTTCCAATTTTTAAACTCTTATTTATAGCTCTTGTTTTAAAAGAGGAAATACAGAGTAGGAAGGGACCTTAAGGATAATCTCATCCCAGCCCCTTGCCATGGGCAGGGACACCTTCCACTATCCCAGGTTGCTCAGAGCCCTGTCCAAAGCAGCCTTGGACACATCCAGGGATGGAGCAGCCACAGCTTCTCTGGGCATTCCATGCCAGGGCCTCCTCACCCTCACAGGGAAAATTTCCCCCCTATGTCTAAGCTAAATTCTTCCTGTTCAAGTTTAAATTCCATATAGTACCATGATTCTTTTAAGGAGAATGGACTCATCAAACTTTAGTTTGAGTCTTGTGTGGGGAGGAGAAATTACTGAGTTGTTCTTAAGTCAGGAACTGCCAACAGTATTTTAATTGGAGGACTTTTTTTAGTTTTCCTAATAAATTTTGTTTTGCACTGTTTCTGGTATTTTTTGCAGCAGTGTTGCACCCTCAGTCAAAATATTAGTAAGCTCATCTCCCCTTTCCTAGAAATTGGTTTCATTGAAAATGAAAGGATTGTTTAGATGGCACATGTATCACAGTTTGGACTTGCCACAAATAGTGGACAAATACTCCAAAATTTTCTTAGGGGGAGAGTCAAGTATAGAGAATAAGAACCCTTGGGAAAGGGCACTGCTAAGTGCACTCCCAGTTGAATTCAAGGAGCCAAGCTAAAAGAGTTTCAGAAGCTGCAGCTGTGTGCCAAAGGCAGGGAGCAGGTGGAGGGGTCAGACAGCCAGAGAGAAGGGAGGGACATCTGCCAGCCCAAAACAGCAGCTTAACATCCTTTTGCTGGCATCCAGCAGAGCTGGGCACAGGTCTGGGCTTCCCCTCTGTGCCACCAGCAGCCAGCAAGGAACAGGCTCATAGACACATGAGCCTTAAAGCAGCTGAATACATGCAGCCCCAACAGCTCTTGTTATTCCATGTCATACAGGTGGATGGCACAGGAGGGCTGTTAGGCCAAGCTTGCCCACAGCAAGGACACCACAGATGGCAACCAACCCCCAGGAGAGAAAACCTAACAGCAGGCTAATAGGTGGAGAGACCCCAAAGGGTGAGTTCAACTCCCAGAGACAATGTGGGATGGACATGGCTTTTGCAAAGCAAAATAGCTGCAGTGAAGGTTTATGCGGGAGACGTTAAAATGGCTTATGCCCAGTCCCCTCAGGTTGCTTGCACAGCTCACCATCTAGCTGCAGCATTCAGCATTTGTGCACCAAACTACTTGA